TATATATATATATATATATATATATATATATATATATATATATATATATATATATATACATTTATATACATTTGTTTAATTGTTAATCCAAAGAAATATTTTTTATAGAAGGAAACCCTTTGTATTGACAAAAGTTTATTAGGGTAAGTAGGGATATTCGTCATTTTTTCGCCAATGCTCGGAATTAGCTATCATTTAGACAAGCGGTTCTCAACCCGTGGATCGTGACCCCTTTGGGGGTTGAACGACCATTTCACAGAGGTCGCCTAAGACCACCGTGAAACACATATACTCTACAGTTATGAGGTAGCAACGAAAATAATTGTATGGTGGGGGGGGGAGGTGTGGGGTCGTCACAACATGAGGAAACTGTACTAGGAAGGTTCAGAACCACTGATTCAGACCCTGGGAAACCAATAAAAGTTCACCATGGAATCCATGACAAGGGATATTCCGAAAATGCTCAATACAATGCTGATACAAAATAGTGCAATGAAGAACCGTAGAATTGGACAAATCATTGGAACAGTCAACAAATGAAACACTCAACAATTGGAACATTCAATAATTGTAACAGACTTGTAAAATTGGCTTACTAAACCTTTAGTGTCATCGTACATGTTTTTGAAACCTTGTGTTGTGAATTAATTCAATTTCTCAGGTACAATTTGTATTGAGCAATTATTTTGTTTAAACTTCTTTGCTTCGAGAATGCCCCCCCCCCCCAACCGGACGATTAGCCATGCACACTAACTACTATTTCACCAACTATTCTGTCACTTCAAAATCCCTAGTGATTCCGCGTCCCGGACAAACCGCAGTCGCAGGCCAGATGTGGCCCGCGGGCCGTAGTTTACCGATGACCTGCATTATGGGATAACATTTCCAAGTGCGTCTATCTATGCATAAAATTGTTACATACTATTCCATTAGATGTAGCTTAACCTCCACACACTTCCCAATTGTATGGATCCTCCCCTCCCCTGGTAGCACAGTGTTTGGAGTTCGGGGACGGAATTAATTTTCACGCACCCCACCCCACCCTCTCCTCTGTGACCCATTTTTTTCATTAATAAAATACAACCAAAAGCCTTTATTGACGCTCCATTAGTCTCGCTCGCTGGGGGGGGGGCGCATCTCTCCACCTGCGCCCTCCTTTAGCTACGCCTCTGGGTAGCACCGGAAGTTTATGCACCATAGTATGGTAGTCATTACCAATGTCTCGATGATCGCTGCGCGTTGACTGCATGCGTTGTCTCTTTTTTTTTTTTGTTTTGTTTACGAGCGCTGGGACTAACTCATCGCGCTGTGCGGCGAGCGAAACATGCGGTGCGCCGAACGAGAGGCCCTTCCAGCCCACCAGCCAATCAAACTGAACGGGCAGCGGTGCACGTGCGTTTTACCGCCTTTATATTTTCGTGTTCCTGTATCGCCATCCTGTATGAGCTACGTCAGAAGTCAGAACGCCAACGATACTCTTGAGGGGTAAGTACATTTACAAATTTCTTTTTTTAAGAGTTTAGTTTTAACGAGTGGCTAAACTTTGACTAGGCCACTAGACTCACTGCCGTGGCGATGTTAGCTTGATTTGAACAACGCTCATGGGCACGGCAGACGCCAGCCAGTGTGTTTGACACGCATGCCGTGTTTATAGGTTCCTACAAAGTGGCAACCGTTGGATTTTAACACCAAACTATTCTTGTAATTATTGATTTTCTTCGGATTCACCTTGACCTAAAAGTAAAATAGGCCATGGTGTCAATAGATTTATTTATAATTTATCGGAACACTTGAGCACATTTGGGTAGGAAAAAAAAAAGGGGGGGGGGGGCGGCGCACTTCCAGTAATAAAAAGCTTAAAACGTCGACCAAGGTCCCCCCCCCCTTTTAAAAACCGAAAAAAACCCCCCGGCCCCCAACAGTAAGGATTATACACTACGGGTTGGGGAGGGGGGGGGCAAATTATTCCAACATGTGAATTTAAGAAATGTGTCGATGTGATTAACTAATAATTTGAACTGTAAATGTATGTGGGTGGGGGTGTTGAGGTGCAGTGGTCTTAGTACATGCCATAGTGTTTCCTGGTCGAAAATTAAAAAGAAAGGAGGGGGGTGGGGAAGAGATGTCTCTATATCTGCTATATAAAAACGGGCCATATTTGTTAGATTGGTTTATCCATTGTGAAGACGAAAAGGGCCATAATTGATAGATTGGTTTATCCATTGTGAAGTCGCAAAGGGCCATATTTGTTAGATTGGTTTATCCATTGTGAAGACGCAAAGGGTCATATTTGTTAGATTGGTTTATCCATTGTGAAGACGCAAAGGGCCATATTTGTTAGATTGGTTTATCCATTGTGAAGACGAAAAGGGCCATATCTGTTAGATTGGTTTATCCATTGTGAAGACGCCATCTTGGTTTGTTTGCCGTTTCTATACAATATTTCCAGTCTCGCGACTTTCCAAAACATCCTTATCTCGCTTCCTAGAATACACTCTTTAACATCCTCCCACTCCTCCCTCCAAACCCCCCTCCAACTTAACCCTCCCAATCCGCCTCCTACTACCCACTCTGCCCCCCCCCCCGGAAAAAAGCCCCTAAGTCTTTCATCATTCAAAGGGTTTATGGTTAGATTGGTTTATCCATTGTGAAGACGCCATCTTGGTTTGTTTTCCGTTTCTATACCATATTTCCAGTCTCGCGACTTTCCAAAACATCCTTATCTCGCTTCCTAGAATACCCTCTTTAACATCCTCCCACTCCTCCCTCCAAACCCCCCTCCAACTTAACCCTCCCAATCCGCCTCCTACTACCCACTCTGCCCCCCCCCCCGGAAAAAAGGCCCTAAGTCTTTCATCATTCAAAGGGTTTATGGCACCAATATTTATTTCCTCTAAGTTATAAAGTCTAATGTTAGACGTCTCGGTCTCCTGAAAGTCTTATGTTAGAATTCTCGATCTCCTCTAAAAAATTATGTTAGACGTCTCGGTCTCCTGAAAGTCTTATGTTAGACTCTCGATCTCCTGAAAGTCTTATGTTGGACGTCTCGATCTCCTTTAAAATATTATGTTAAACGTCTCGATCCCCTTAACCCCTTTTAGGCGTCACGGTTTCCTTAAAGTCTCATGTTAGACGTCTGCGTCTCCTTAAAGTCTCATGTTAGACGTCTCAATCTCCTTAAAGTCTCATGTTAGACGTCTGGGTCTCCTTAAATTCTCATGTTAGACTCTCGAGCTGTTTAAAGTCTCATTTTAGACGTCTGGGTCTCCTTAAAGTCTCATGTTAGACGTCTCAGTCTCCTTAAAGTCTCATGTTACACGTATGGGTCTCCTTAAAGTCTCATGTTAGACGTCTTGGTCTCCTTAAAGTCTCATGTTACACGTCTGGGTCTCCTTAAAGTCTCATGTTAGACGTCTTGGTCTCCTTAAAGTCTCATGTTAGACGTCTGCGTCTCCTTAAAGTCTCATGTTAGCGTCTCGGTCTCCTTAAACTCTCATGTTAGAGTCTGGGTCTACTTAAAGTCTCATGTTAGACGTCTCGATCTCCTTAAAGTCTTATGTTAGAGTCTGGGTCTCCTTAAAGTCTCATGTTAGACGTCTCGGTCTCCTTAAAGTCTTATGTTAGACGTCTCGATCTCCTTAAAGTCTTATGTTAGAGTCTGGGTCTCCTTAAAGTCTCATGTTAGACGTCTCGGTCTCCTTAAAGTCTCATGTTAGACGTCTCGATCTCCTTAACCCCTTTTATGCGTCACGGTCTCCTTAAAGTCTCATGTTACACGTCTGGGTCTCCTTAAAGTCTCATGTTATACGTCTCAATCTCCTTAAAGTCTCATGTTAGACGTCTCAATCTCCTTAAAGTCTCATGTTAGACGTCTCAATCCCCTTAAAGTCTCAGGTTAGACTCTCAATCTCCTTAAAGTCTCATGTTAAACGTCTCGGTCTCCTTAAACTCTCATGCTAGACGCCTCGATCTCCTTTAAAATATTATGTAAGACGTCTCAATCTCCTTAAATTCTCTCCCACTTAAGCTCTGGGGTCGGCGGACGGCCTTCAGTCGCCTAAATGCCCCTGGTACCTAGGCACTAGGATGGCCCAAATGCCTAGAATGAATGTAACAAAAGACAAGTGTACTGGGAGGGTGTGCTATCTGTCGTCTAGTAGGGCGACAGTTGCACTAGTGCAGTGCTATTATGAACACAGGGCTGGACCCACCTGTCGTTCATTGGTAATCTATCAAGTTCAAACACACGCTGGTGTCACAACACGTGGGTGACACACGTGTCTGTCAGTCACAGCCCTTGTCTGTCACAACCATTGTCTGTCACAACCCTTGTCTGACACATTATTGGGCTGACACAGTACTGGTCTGACACAACCCTGATCTGACACTTTACATGGTCTGACACAAACCTTGTCTGTAACAACCCTTGTCTGTCACAACCCATGTCTGACACATTACTGGTCTGACACAATCCTGATCTGACACTACACAGGTGTGACACAATCCTTGTCTGTCACAACCCATGTCTGTCACAACAATTGTCTGACACATTACTGGTCTGCTACAGTATTGGTCTGACACAGTACTGGTCTGACACAACCGTGATCTGATACTACACTGGTGTGACACAACCCTCTCTCTGTCACAACCCTTGTCTGTCACAACCCTTTTCTGTCACAACCATTGTCTGTCACAACCCTCTCTCTGTCACAACCCTTGTCCGTCACAACCATTGTCTGTCACAACCCTCTCTCTGTCACAACCCTTGGCTGTCACAACCGTTGTCTTCATCACATCTTTCATCACTCTAATTTGCCACAACCGTTGGTGTCACAACCTTTGGTGTCAATATCACAATCATTGATGTCACATCCCTTGTGTCACAACCCTTCCAGGTGTCACAGTCGTTTTCCGTTTCGACTCCCATTAAACTGTGTGAATCCCTGTTACCATAAGGACACAACCATTATCATTGTGAGAACCACTGGTAATGCCACAGCCCTAGTTGTTGTGTCAGGCGTGTCTCTGCTTGCTCAAACGAACAAGTGAAGGAACCACATTTCTTTAAATTTTTATGGTTCTGTAGATATTCAAGATAAGTGATTTGATACGTTACTCGCCGTCTATTTCTTTTTACCAAATGGTCATAAAACCAAATCTTCGTAAAACCGAATAGTCATAAACCAAATAGTCATAAAAACGAATGCTCATAAAACCAAAGGGTCATAAAACCGAATGCTCATATAACCATATTACGAATTCAAACCTTTTAAAATACGGCTTATGTAAAAGAGTAATTCAAATTAACTAAATTTTAAGTATAAAGTGCAATTTTAACAATATGTTTTTAAACTTTGACGTTACCCCTCCAAGGTAACGTAGCTGGAAAATTATATTCTTTATTAAGAACTTAAACAATGTAGGCACAGTTCTACGCGGGACATTTACTTTACGCAGACCGTGATAAATCAGCACGCTAATTGCGTGCAAGTCAGTGCCTTTCAGAAGAGGTAAATTTACATGAAAAGACTCACACATGTTAGAGAGTGGCAGTTCTATATGTTACAGGTAAGGACTCACAAATGCTAGAGAGTGACAATTCTATATTTTACAGGTAAGGACTCAAACATGTTAGAGAATGGCAATTCTATATTTTACAGGTAAGGACTCAAACATGTTAGAGAATGGCAGTTCAATCTGTTACATGTAAGGACTCAAACATGTTAGAGAATGGCAGTTCTATCTGTTACATGTAAGGACTCAAACATGTTAGAGAATGGCAGTTCTATCTTTTACATGTAAGGACTCAAACATGTTAGAGAATGGACTTTCTATCTGTTACATGTAAGGACTCAAACATGTTAGAGAATGGCAGTTCTATCTGTTACATGTAAGGACTCAAACATGTTAGAGAATGGCAGTTCTATATGTTACATGTAAGGACTCAAACATGTTAGAGAATGGCAGTTCTATCTGTTACATGTAAGGACTCAAACATGTTAGAGAATGGCAGTTCTATCTTTTACATGTAAGGACTCAAACATGTTAGAGAATGGCAGTTCTATCTGTTACACGTAAGGACTCAAACATGTTAGAGAGTGGCAGGTTCCGTCAGGTCTCACGGAAGTTGTGTTGGAGGCCGCCATGTATTCCGCCAGGTCTCATGGAACGCCAGGTCTCACGGAAGTTGTGTTGGAGGCCGCCATGTGTTCCGCCAGGTCTCATGGAACGCCAGGTCTCACGGAAGTTGTGTTGGAGGTCGCCATGTGTTCCGCCAGGTCTCATGGAACGTCAGGACTCACGGAAGTTGTGTTGGAGGCCGTAATGTGTTCCGCCAGGTCTCATGGAACGCCAGGTCTCACGGAAGTTGTGTTGGAGGCCGCCATGTGTAACGCCAGGTCTCACGGAAGTTGTGTTGGAGGCCGCCATGTGTTCCGCCAGGTCTCATGGAACGCCAGGTCTCACGGAAGTTGTGTTGGAGGTCGCCATGTGTTCCGCCAGGTCTCATGGAACGTCAGGACTCACGGAAGTTGTGTTGGAGGCCGTAATGTGTTCCGCCAGGTCTCATGGAACGCCAGGTCTCACGGAAGTTGTGTTGGAGGCCGCCATGTGTAACGCCAGGTCTCACGGAAGTTGTGTTGGAGGCCGCCATGTGTTCCGCCAGGTCTCATGGAACGCCAGGTCTCACGGAAGTTGTGTTGGAGGTCGCCATGTGTTCCGCCAGGTCTCATGGAACGTCAGGACTCACGGAAGTTGTGTTGGAGGCCGTAATGTGTTCCGCCAGGTCTCATGGAACGCCAGGTCTCACGGAAGTTGTGTTGGAGGCCGCCATGTGTTCCGCCAGGTCTCACGGAAGTTGTGTTGGAGGCCGCCATGTGTTCCGCCAGGTCTCACGGAAGTTGTGTTGGAGGCCGCTATGTGTTCCGCCAGGTCTCACGGAAGTTGTGTTGGACACCTAGAAATGCGTCTCTCTCCTGAGAATTTTTGTTGTTGCCTCAATAGTTTAGCATTATTTTCGCTCCAACGGATCTGGTCGTGAAAGAAAAATTTGGGTGGGAGGGGGGGGGGGTAGGGGGTGTTCTGTTCCGAGTTTGAAAATAAAGTGTCGAAAATAGGCCGAGAGATATTTAATAAGTGGGCACCAAGTAATGCGGTTATGCTATTGTTGAGAAATGTCGCGCCATTCTGGAAGTGCACTGTCTCAACAAAAGAGTGAGACCGGTTGGTCAGTAAATGTCTCAAGAGAACGGTAAGAGGGTAAGAGGGTCAGACTGGTCGGTCAGTAGCTGTCTCAACAGAAGGGTAGGAGGGTCACACTGGTCGGTCAGTAGCTGCCTCAACAGAAGGGTAAGAGGGTCAGACTGTTCGGTCAGTAGCTGTCTCAACAGAAGGGTAGGAGGGTCAGACTTGTCGGTCAGTAACTGTTAAGAAAAATAAGAATCACGCACGTATTCTTCAGCAGATTTCTACATTCGCCCCTACGATGCGATGAGCATCTTTGAAACTACCAGCGATACTTTTGTCTGCCGTTTGTCTAAGGACATCAGGTGCATTTACGTACCGATACGGGTCGGACAACGCATGACAGAACCAGATATGCAAGCCCAAAATATGATGTAATGTGGAGCTTTTTTTTTTTACTACCACGTCTAACGAAGAATCCCTATTCTTGAAAGGACTGTGTGGTTCTTGGACACAATCCACATCATGGAGGGCAACGCCAATCGCCAGAAAACTCCTTTCTTTGGTTTTGAACGACCGGATGTTTTGTCCAGAAACCGCTACACAGTTACACGTGAGACGGTATAGTGTGTCGTTTCAGCACAAAGTATTGGAGTAGCCCCCCCCCCCCTCCCCCCTGTTTCATTGAGGAGGAGGAAGGCAGTGCTCTTACCGTTACCCATGAATCGGATGTTTTGGTCAGAAAACGCTACACAGTTACACGTGAGGCGGTAGAGTGTGTCGTTTCAGCACAAAGGATTGGGGTAGCCCCCCCCCCCCTCCCCCCTGTTTCATTGAGGAGGAGGAAGGCAGTGCTCTTACCGTTACCCATGAACGCTACAGGGGCGTGGCCATCGAGCAATTTGTTCAGGATTTCAGAAGGTTCTGTCGTGCAAGGAACCTTCGCGTGAACAGAAAGTGGTATCAACGGGACCGGGCGACCAGCCATACCGCTCAGGAATGTATTGGAGCGTTGCAGAACAAAAAAACTTTCCTGGACGAATCATTTCACGGGGTACTGACTGACTTCCAATACCCGTCAAAATCCCCCCCCCCTTTACGCCACCTCGTACCCACATGTGGGGAAATATTAATAGAGGGTGACTGAGAAGATCCGCCAAGAACTGTGCCTGCTCCTTTTTCTCGGGAGTCTGCAGAGTTCACTGCTCAGCGATATGTTTGAAAATCTACGTGAACGATGTGAACCCTGTCCACAACCAGGCGGTGCACGGTATGGCTATGAGCATTGGCGTTACGCGTACCGTGGTGACCCAACACGCTAATGGTGTGCATGTTAATTTCTTTCAGTAGAAATACATTTGCAGATGACAGCGTGGAAATAGTGTGCGCCTGTTCTGCTCAGTACCTTTACCTTTGGTACGGACTGCACATGATCAGGAAAGTCTTTTTAATTGTTGTTTTTTTTTAAAAAAGGTATAATGGAGAGTCATTTTTTAAAAAAAATTATTGGGTGGGTCCATCAGGTGTAAGAATAAGGTAGGCTATTTTAGATGGGAGCTGTTACTGTTGTTAATTTTTTTTTTTTTTTTTTTTTTTTTTTTTTTTTTTTTTTTTTTTTTTTTGGTGGGGGTGTGGGAGGGAATCGGACATATCTGTGGAGTGAACTTTCTTTTTATTTAAATCATTGAATGGATTATTTGTCGGGAAACAGATACCACGTGCGAGAGAGGAAGTGGGTTTAATCCACTCCAATCTCTGTTATAAGTCAATTGAGTTAGTGGTAAGGTTTTGTTTGGGCCCTTGTTCCGCTGTCNATGTCCTATGTGTTGTCGTATGTCCAATGTGTGGTCGTATGTCCAATGTGTTGTATGTCCAATGTAGCTTAGTATGTCCTATGTGTGGTGGTATGGCCAATGTGTGGTCGTATGTCCAATGTGTGGTCGTATGTCTAATGTGTGGTCGTATGTCCAATGTGGTTTTGTTTGTCCTATGTGTGGTCGTATGTCCAATGTGTGGTCGTCTGTCCAATATGTGGTCGTATTTCAGATGTGAGGTCGTATGTCCTATGTGTGGTCGTATGTCTTATGTGTGGTCGTATGTCTTATGTGTGGTCGTATGTCCTATTTGTAGTCGCATGTACTATGTGTCGTCGTATGTCCTATGTTTCGTCGTATGTCCTATGTGTGGTCGTATGTCATATGTGTAGTCATATGTCCTATGTGTGGTTGCATGTCATAATCATGATAATGTAAACACTCTGGTCAATATCCAATGAACCTACTGAACACACACCACCCCCCCCCACACACCCCTGAGCCCCCCCACACACCCCTGAAGCGGTCCCTTGGGCTTAGTAGCAGCATGCAATCCAACAGATAAGACAGTGAGAATGAGAGAATACGGAAGAGAAGGAGGGAACAGTGGGTGTGTGGGGGGGGGTGGGGGTGGGGTGGGGGGTAGGAGTGGTTCAGTAAACTGAATTGGAAATGTTCTTGAAATGATGTGGCCGATAGAGAGGTGCACTGCACACTTGAGACCCATTGTCTTCGAAGTCTGACTGGTCCAGGGGTCAAGGTCATCACATTGAGGAAAGGAAATAAAAAAAATAAAAAAATAAAAAAAGAGAAGCCCACTTTTTTTTGGTAATGCCAGTTTGTCTGACGCCCCACACGGCAGTTAGAAATGATTGTGTTTTCAACGAGTGGAAGAAGTGTTCAGATAATGAAAAGCTGTCAATAAAAAGAGTGTTTTTTGTGTGCTTCGATTAGATATGCGTGTAATCAACACTTGGGTTTAACCCTTTGATTAGACATGCGTGTAATCAACACTTGGGTTTAACCCTTTGATTAGATATGCGTGTAATCAACACTTGGGTTTATCCCTTTGAAATCTTAGAACTGTTTGTATCTTATCTAAGCTTCAGAGTTTTAATAGCAATCGCTTTCTTATTTGGAGTGTTTTATATAAGTTGTCCAGTTATTTGAGCCCGTATCACAGGTAGGGCTGTTACAGGTAGGGATGTCACAGGCAGGGATGTCACAGGCAGGGATGTCACAGGCAGGCATGCCACAGGTAGGGATGTAGGGGTTAGGGCTGTCATAGGTAGAGATGTCACGGGTAGGGATGTCACGGGTAGGGATGTCACGGGTAGGGATGTCACGGGTAGGGATGTCACAGGTAGGAATGTCACGGGTAGGGATGTCACAGGTAGGGATGTCACGGGTAGGGATGTCGCAGGTAGGGATGTCAGAGATATGGCTATCAAGTGTTGGGCTTTCACAGGTTGGGATGTCACAGGTAGGGCTGTCACAGGTAGGGCTGTCACTGGTAGGGATGTCACAGGTAGGGATGTCACAGTTAGGGATGTCACACGTAGGGCTGCCACAGTTAGGGCTTTCACGAGTAAACCTGTCGCAGGTAGGGCTGTTACAGGTGGTACTTTTATAGGTAGGGCTGTCACGGGTAGGGCTGTCACAAGTTGGACTGTCACATGAGGGCTGTCACAGATAGGGCTGTAAAAAGGTGGGGTAAAACATCTTCCCGGGTACCCGTCGACTCATGCGACCGGGTATCACCTTGTACCCGAAAAACAAGACAAGTTTGTAGGGAGTCACTTTTATTCTTCTGATATATCTTCTACTAAAAGATCATCCCTATAACTGTCTACATTAATTTCAATAAAGTCTTCATCGATCTGTTCGACTGTCCCATCGTCTAAACTTTCTAGTCCATGTAAAATTAGTTGATGGTTGTCTCGCATTCGATCAACTTAGAAAGACATGTTGACCTTTGAACTCTCGTAACTTTTGAACGAAAGAAGATAGATCCATACGAATTTCCTTTTACAAACGGTAATAAATGTTAGCAGACGAATTTATTATAGATAAGTTGCTAGCCCCCCGCCCTTCCCAAATGCATATCATGCATCTGACATGCCACCGTCTGGCATAGTCGGCAGGCGTTAGTGGGAATTTGAGAGATTCGGAGCTGATCACAGGCACTGATGGCAGTGGATGGTCAAGCCGACGAAATTCTTAATAGAAATGTTATATATATATTTTTTTTTAAAAAAGTATTTAGAACTTTTTTTTTTTAAATCAGATACCGAAGTTAGCTCATTTTGAGACCAGGAAGTGGATCAAAATTAAGTTGCAAGATTTGACCCGCAGAATTCACTCAAGGGTCAGTGGCGGCCACTGGTGACCTCCTGATCACGAAGGGTTGTATTGTCATCGGCGATGGGGAACGTGTACACCAGTGGTTCTCAACCTGTGGGTCGCGATCCCTTGAGGGGGGGTGGGGGGTGTCGAACGAACCTTACAAAGGGGTCGCTGAAGACCATCGGAAAACACATTTATGAAGTAGCAATGAAAATATTTTATTGTTGGGGGTCACTGTATTAGAGGTTCGCGGCATTAGGATGGCTGAGAACCACTGGTGTACACAGTATGAGCTCAATCGGAGATCAGGAAGTGGGTCAAAATGGAGATGCGCGATTTGACCACGCACAAACTAACAAACGGATAGAGCAACCCTTAAACAAAAATCGTCTTAATCCTACAATGTATTATAAAGGACACGTGGATTTAGCTATGGACGGTAGCGGATTTTCCCCAGCAGACATAAAAATGCCCCCCCCCCCTGTTATTTTAATCTCAACATCTCTGCAGTAACGTGATCGATACAAACAGAGAAATGTGAAACTACCGTGGATCATCAGCTCTTAACAGCTGGGCCATAAACCAAATTTTCACGTTTAAGGTTACTGTTGTTGAAAGATTAAGAATTTTCGTTGGCAAGAGCTGAAGGGAAGCACTCGCCTCCCCCACTCGCCCCTCCCTCCCCATACCCCGCCCTTCCCTCCCCATACCCCTAAACCAGCCTCTAAGTTTTCTTCCACCAGTTATATTTGAACTGGTTATAATGTTTGAGTAATGCTGTAATGCAGGCCCGCACAACTCAAAATGTAAGGCGGGCCGTAATACTTTATGAAAAACATTGCGCGGGCCGAAAGAAAATAGGACAATAATGTTTGAGTAATGCTGTAATGCAGGCCCGCACAACTCAAAATGTAAGGCGGGCCGTAATACTTTATGAAAAACATTGCGCGGGCCGAAAGAAAATAGGACAAGGGGGGGGGGTGGGAGGAGGGGGGTAAAGCTATTAAGAAATTAATAGTGATAAAGAACGTGTCGCTACGTCGCGGGCCGCCAAGTGGGTGCTGGCGGGCCGCATGCGACCCGCGGGCCGTATGTTGTGCAGGCCTGCTGTTATGTTGTACCAACGAGTTTAATGCAAAGGTTTCCTTTCTCCAGAATCATTGTCTACTCCATTCCTTACGTCCTACTATAGCAAATGCGTGGCGTGGGGGGGGGGGTGTTCAGGACAGGCTTCATTGTTGTTCAGGTAATTTATTGGAAGGGGCGGAATTTGCTGTTATTTTGGAAAGGGGGGGGGGGATCGTTAAGGGGATGAGGTTAAGCTTAATAGAGTCTCGCATCTTTGAGATAGAGGGGAATGTTTCTTTCCATAATATTAAGTTTCGGGGCTTCCAGGACTTCGTGTGACAATTTGGGGGGATAACGGCGGGAAATCCTAATTGACCGGAAATTAAACGATCAGGGGTCCGTTAATAGATAGCTTTCCTGTGCCACCTATGGAGGTAGAAAAACGTATATAAGAGAGGAAAGAGCTGAGAGGGAAGAGTTGAGAGGGAAGAGTTGAAAGAGACCAGGAGACGACAGACAACCATTTGAACATAGGAATAGACGAGGCAAGATACGGAATAGAAACAGTCATAGCTATAGAGATACATATAGATCTATAGATGACAGTTAGTGGTCCCAACAGAAGAGCGTGACACTTGCTATTTCTATCACCTGGACACCTCGAGTCTCAGTTGTTTAGATTTCATCTCAAGTTTATGTTGTGCTTTTGTCTTTTCAACGCCTAGATGCTCAGAGTATAACTCACAGAACGGAGCGGCCCTGTACTAACCACTACTAAGTCAATACAGTTTGTGATTAGGTCGGGACCGGAGCCCTCCTCCGTAACAATCCAATCGTTCCGTGACACCTACGTCATACCTTCCGTCCTACGTCATACCTTCCGTCCTACGTCATACCGTCCTACGTCATACCGTCCTACGTCATACCGTCCTACGTCATACCGTCCTACGTCATACCGTCCTACGTCATACCGTCCTACGTCATACCATCCTACGTCATACCGTCCTTTCGAGGCAGTTACTACAAATAATTAAATAATCCTTTAAGTAAAATACCGGTATATTCCCTGAACAAAATATTCCCCATGTGCCTAATTTCTATCTGTGCCCTATTTTCTATACGTGCCCTATTTTCCATATGTGCCTATTTTCCATATGTGCCCTATTTTCTGTATGTGCCCATTTTCCATATGTGCCCTATTTTCTATATGTGCCTATTTTCTATATGTTTCTATTTTCGATATATGTTCTTTATGTTCCATAAAGTCAGTGTATCTCATCTCCCCCATTAATTCCGCAAAGACCTTTTCTCGTATATATTCTTGGCGTCTGGGGTTTCCTGCTTCCTTTTCCGGACACCCCCCCCCTCCCCAACTCCATGGGTTTTAAAGTACTGGGTGAAAAAATGGCTGTCATGCGTGACGCAGACCTGTTTACTCTTACGATTTTGGCGTACAATGTACGATTTTGAGGTGTATAGATTGTATACATTGTATGTTTTTTTTACTATGAATATACGGTAACGGTTTAAATGACATTGTGATGATATTGTACGATTTTAAGAGTTTGAAGGTAAACAGGTCTGGCGACGTGTGAACATGGGTATATTTAGGGGGAGGCGACTATTATATTAATCAATAAATAGCCACGGGTACGATATAGGACTCTCTGTGGGACGATTGTTTAAAGGCCGGCAGGTAGGGTCTAGGATAGGGGGGACAAAATGTCCCGTAACAACGGGATCGTCCCGTTTTTTCACGATCGTAACCGGTGTCCCGAAAAAGTCTCTCGGGACGCCTAAATGTCCCGTTTCTAAAACAAACCACACACATTTTCAAATCACGAAAACTTCCTAACTTATAAATAACTTCGAGTAATATTAAGCTGTGTAGCCAGAACAGCTCTCTGATGTTTTCAAGATACGCCAATATGTGTTTGGCGATCCCTGACCATAATGGGAATACTGAAAGAATATTTTGGCTCATGAACATTCAATGGACAGACGAAAGAAACAAGATGAGAGTCTTTCAGGGTCTCTACAGTTTCGAAATGGACTGTGCTATTTTTGACAACTTTATATTAGATAAGGAGGGGGTTTTAACAATGGCTGGGACAACAGCCAAATATGCTCCATTTAAATCCTAGACTAGAGAAATTAAATTTGTTGTGTTGTATTATGTTGCAAAATATGTATAAATAAATAAGTATTCACCGCGAAATTCTTGTTTTCGTTGATGACCTGCCTCAGAGTTTAAATTAGATTAAAAACGTGAAGGTAAATTTAAAAAGATTTCTAGGGCGCAAAATAGTTCAAATGAGCAGATTTCAATAAACAGTTTCCGGCGGAGGCCCCCGACCCCTCTTTATTTGGAGGGTAACCCCCCCCCCCCCACCAAACCCTCATTGGGTGTGTCCCGTTTTTTCCAGTTCATGATTTGGTCACCCTGGTCTAGGATTGTCTGTAGGCCTATTTAAAAAGATTTTTAGGGCGCAAAATAGTTCAAATGAGCAAATTTCAATAAACAGGTTCCCGCGGGGCCCCCCCCCCCCTTTTTTTTTGGAGGGTAACCCCCCCCCCCCCACCAAACCCTCATTGGGTGTGTCCCGTTTTTTCCAGTTCATGATTTGGTCACCCTGGTCTAGGATTGTCTGTAGGCCTATAGTTTAAAGACCGACAGTTAGCTCCTAGGACTATTTGTAGGCCCCATTGTTAAAGGCCGACAGAAATGATAGAAAATGAGAAGTTAATTCTTCTCTCTTCTTTTTTTTGTGTGTTAAGGCCGGGGATTTTTTCAAAATACCCGGACCCGGTGTAAAAAAAACAAACAACTGCACCCGGGTAAGCTCCAGTAATCCTTTAGCTAGTACACATTCCATGTGCAATCAACACCAGCGTGCCTTATGTTCCATAATTTAATTATCCCATAATATTTCCTCATGCATTCCGTTTACAATGCAACGCAAACATAACATTCAGTGTCTGGTTCGATTGTGGTTTACGTGTGCCATTGTTTTCATAGGTCAAGGACGTCTCAAATCAACCACGTGATAGTCACGTGAGGTCAGGTCTGAATAGGTGACAGCTAGTAGAAGTAACCAATAATTTAATGCCACAAACATTGCTTTAGACCTAAACAGGTTCGTGATTAAACGGCAATGTTTGCGAGGTAATCTTTCGGTAATGTTTGTGGGGTAATCTTTCGGTAATGTATGTGAGGTAATCTTTCGGTAATGTATGTGAGGTAATCTTTTGTTAATATTTGTGGGGTAATCTTTTGGTAATGTTTGTGGGGTAATCTTTTATCTAACAATATTTGGAGCTATTGATAATTTGAATCTCGCGCAAGGCAATGTTATCTCCCAAGACCCGGCGAGCTGTTGCGTGACAGTGAAACGAGCACAAAAAAATTAAGGGGTGGGGGGGGTGGGGGTGGTGGGATACTTATACCCCTGGTTCCCATCCCGTTTGTTAAAAAAAATTCGCGTCTGTTTACAGATGGAGACCATGAACCTTTGAACCTGCTTATAACATCACCTGTTTCTTTACTTAGCTCATACCTGTGTATGACATCACCTGTTCCTTTGTTGGCCCCTAACCTATTATGACATCAACTGTTTTCTGTAATGGTCCTATACGTGTTTGTGACCCAGTCCTATACCTGTTTGTGACACAGCCCTATACCTGTTTGTGACCCAGTCCTATACCTGTTTGTGACACAGCCCTATACCTGTTTGTGACACATCCCTATACCTGTTTGTTACACAGCCCTATATCTTTTTGTGACACAGCCCTATATCTGTTTGTGACACAGCCCTATACCTGTTTGTGACACAGCCCTATACCTATTTGTGACACAGCCCTATATTTGTTTGTGACACAGCTCTATACCTGTTTGTGACACAGCCCTATACCTGTTTGTGGCACAGCCCTATACCTGTTTGTGACACAGTCCCATACCTGTTTGTGACCCAGTCCCATACTGTTTGTGACACAGCCCTATACCTGTTTGTGTCACAGCCCTATACCTGGTTTCGGCACAGCCCCATACCTGTTTGTGACACTGTCCAATACCTGTTTTTGACAGTCCTATATCTGAATACAAAAAAAATCAAGTTTTGAAATATCTAATAAGAACGTAGGACTATTTTAACTGAGAATTGAAACACGTCAGATTGGGGTTCTCTCTTCATACACCATCCCCAACCCCACGCCCCCTCACTCAATAAAATACCAACTTTTCCCAAAGACAAAATAATTTAAAATGCAAATAGATTGTGGCGACCGAAAGTATTGGAAAAAACAAAAGTGTATTTCAAAAAGTTTTTTTTTTTTTTTTTGAATGCTATTGTGAGTGACCAGCAAACATCATGTGGTGTACAGTCAAGCCCTCGTCAACACCTCTTGTAAACAGCACCATTATTTAAAGGAAGGGCCCCTTACGTATAAAATACCAACTTTTCCCAAAGACAAAATAATTTAAAATGCAAATAGATTGTGGCGACCGAAAGTATTGGAAAAAACAAAAGTGTATTTCAAAAAGTTTTTTTTTTTTTTTTTTTGAATGCTATTGTGAGTGACCAGCAAACATCATGTGGTGTACAGTCAAGCCCTCGTCAACACCTCTTGTAAACAGCACCATTATTTAAAGGAAGGGCCCCTTAAGTAGGTCACCCTTAAGTAGGTCACTGGCGGGAGTTTCCTTAGGGTATTTCAAAGTGAAAATAGCCAGTGGGAAATTCACTTAGTCTACCTGTGTGTGTGTTTGTGTGTGTGTAATTTTATTGTCGCTTAAAGTAATGAGTGGTGATTGTCGTAAAATGGTGGGTGCGATCTCGCGAAAGGCCGATCCTTTACAGGATGTAGATAAGAGAATGACCATGCGTGATAACACGAGGATACTGTCGAGGTCTCTTTTAAGATTATCTTTAGGAAGTTGATTGTTGTTTTTTTTTTTCACGGGTTTCGCTGGCTACGTCTGCACTATCGTTGATGTCTGGAGGAATATTCATTTGTCATTGCTAATCGCGATGATTTAGGAATGTTAAAAATTGCATCGCTAAACATGTTTTAAAAAAAAAATACGTATTAAAATAAGGGTATAAAAATATATTAATTAATAAGTAATTATCATTAGAAGGTGAATCATCTTTTGTTTAACACATGTCGCAATAGGCATAGACGAATCAACGTTTAAAAAAACAAAACAAAAAAAACAAAAAAAAACAAGTTAGGTCAATTCTTGTATGATTCGATCAGTTCCAGCATGTGAGAGATGGAGTCCGGCAAACCAGCTCTCGTGTCACGGCTCCCCGGTCAGCCTGTGGTCATCTACGAGGCGAAGGGCGCCAAGAGGGCGCCGCCCACGGAGGCTGAGCTGCGGAGGCTGCTGCGCTACGGGGGCTACCTGCCGGTCCAGCACGACTGCGCCTGCTGCGGCAAGAGCTGGTTCAGCATGAGGTCGTGCACCCGCTGCTGGCGGGCCAAGTACTGCAACAGCTCCTGCCAGCAGTCGGACTGGGAGGTGCATCGGCGGATGTGCCGCGAGGACGCCACACGCAGCCAGTGTTTTAAAGGTGAGTCGTGGGAGTGGGTGACGCACGTTTGAAGAGCTGCACTCGAAATCATTCTTATAATTTTTTTAGAAGGATCTTTTTCACTTTATATAATAATAATTGTCATAATAATAATGACAAATAAATCATTTAAAAATTCACTAAGTAATTTTTATTTTTTTAAATTAAGTGTTGTTGTAAGATTTATATCAGGGGTCTCAAACTCGCGGCCCGTGGGCCGATTGAGGCCCACAAGATGATATTTTGCGGCCCGATACCTGACAGCAAAGTTTAGTGTTAATGCGGCCCACACGTTTTCCCCATTCTTAAATCTATAATGAGACACTCCGCGACGGTTTCAGTCGAATGTTACCGACTAGTCTAATTCTGATTTTTATTATTATGTTTGTATAGATTTTGACGTTGATTATAATGGTTAATAACCGTTTAAAAATCGGACTAAAAGTTTTTATATTATATCACTTTATGAGACAAACATGGCCCAAGTGTGGTTTTGAGAAAACACGCTTCGAATATTGTATATGCATACATCAAAAAATTTTAAAAGACAGTTAGTGGGTAATGCGCAATCACAATTGTGTAAATCGTAGCAATCTGACGCAATATCAAAGCATACCTATTGAAATTCCCGCTAGTGTTTACGAATGGCGTATGAGGGAAATTCCGAGCCTGTCAGCTTGGTCACTTTCAAAATAAGGTTAGTCAAAAAGGCCTTTTCTACGATTAAACAAAAATCAAAATTAATTCTCCTTACAATAACGCCTTCCTTCGCATCAATAATTCATAAATATTGCCTTTCCTGCCTTCTGTTATGAACACGTTTTAGTTTTAAAATCGCTTGTGGTAATCACCATATTTTTATTTTATGGTTTTTCGTCTTTGATTACCAGAAGCTCATTATTTTCCTAGCATATATTAGCTGAATACTTTTACTTTAGATTACCGGGAAATGTATTTTCTTGCTAAGGATATTATAATACCTTTCACAGTGATACGGCCTGGTCTACTTGTGGAGTTTAGGGATGACGCGATGCTCAATATGCATTTTTTAAATGTTTTGTGGGCCTAATTTTGTAATCACTTGTGTATGTGTGTATGTGTGTGTGTGTTTCTGTGTGTGTGTGTGGAATACTTGATGCGGCCCAGTCTCACTCAGACTTTACCTCCTGCGGCCCCCGGATAATTTGAGTTTGGGAACCTCTGGTTTATATCATACCTTTTAAGAAGAAGAAGAAAAAAAATAATACAAAAGCCAAAGGAGATTGGGAGAAAATATACGATGCGGATGGTTGCAAAGGGAAACCACAAGTAAATCCAGAATAATGTCCCCTAGCGCAGCGGTTTCCCAAACTTGTAAGTTTGGTGGACCGCTCGAAAAGTTTCAAAAACGCACCAGGGACCTGTGGCATATTTATTAATTCTATTTTCTTTTTTTTATTTGAGCATAAATATTCATACTGATGCGGTCCGGCAACGTAAGGCTCGCTGACAAGGGCCGGTCCACCGACCACCATTTGGGGAACGTTGTCCTAGTGGACACCGACCACTTGTTCACTATCAGATCACCTGATAATTTTTTGATCAGTTGGAGAAAATTCTTTGACCGCTGGCATTATTTCTCTATAAAAATCGCTTTGTCTTTTAATCTATCTGATCATGCTTAACTATCAATTAATTGTTGAGTTTTTTTTTTTGTCCAATGCTTTTATGAAAAAAGTAGCTACGTAATCGGTTTCATTTAATAATAATTAACTAGACAATCTATTAATATGTATCTGCACAATCCGTTATTTATAATGCGTATGTACATAATCCCGTTTCTATTTTGTAATATGTCAATAAATAATCCGATTGGCATAATGATGATATAACTGCGTAATTCATTGTATATCATAATTTTGTATGTTATTTTTCTACAAGTATCAGTTTCAAAATACACAATTGAAACATGAATAAATTCTTTTAAACGTCTTTTAACATATTCCGGCTAACTTAATCAAATATTTAACCACATAATCGGTGATAAAAATATGTTAGTATTAATAAAAAAAGAATTTTCCTTCTTAAATATTTTCGACCCCATTACAAACCCATCTATACAGGAGGCCGAATATTAGAACTTGAGATTCTACCAACCATAGAGACATTGAACCAGACACAGATCAACGAGGACGCCTTGTTTCTCGACCTGGACAAGTGCCCCAAACACGGGCACAACAACCATTCAGCCTTTCTAGGAGTTAGCCAGTTCAAGAGTGGCCATCTGCCGGCCACAATCAGATACGACGAGGTCCTAAACTACATCCTGGCGCAGTCGAAAACCACGGTGTGATACTCGTACTCATTGCTATTTAATTAATGTATTGGCTTATTTGTAGGATCCTAAGGGGACTGGGGACAGAGTAAATTAATTTATGGCAATGAATATTTTAACACAAAATAATGTAATTATGTAACTGCTTAGGCAGAAATAACTCACATCGTTTTCAGTCAAATAAAGCTGTTTTGTGATGGAATCCCTAGATTCAGTCCAGGGTAATTTTTGAATTAGAATAGAATTAATTGTGATAGAAATGTATATAGCTGGCAGAGGACAGTGTATTCAAGTATATGACTAGGTCTAACGTTATATATGTTATATCTGATTTTATACATTATTTCAGGTCCGAGTCTTGGTAAAATGGACCAGTACCAACAGGCCGGAAGGCGACGCGTGTGCCAGATTTCGCGGTACCCGACAGGCCAGAACAGCTTCCGGAACGTACGTCCTTGACAATTACAACGACTTCCGCCAGAGAAAATGCCCCGTTGAAAACTGCCACCGGTCGCGAGATCTCGGTGCCTCCCACGACATCTTCGAAGGGGATCTCAAAATATTCACCAACAAACACGTCATTTATGACGACGACGAGCTGCGTCAAACGGTTGTGGATTTCTTCTACGATTCCGGTGACAGGTTCGGTGTATTCCGTGAGTACGGCATCAAGTTGTTTTACACCAAGCCCTCGTCCGACGAGACGTTTCTCAGAGTGACGGTGCACGACGCGCACCTCCTGCTCCAGCTAAAACAGCTCGATTTGGACAGGGCCGTTGCGTTTAAGAAGCTGACGCAGCCCATGCTCAGGGCCATGTCGGCGTTCGCCATCGTCATCTCACACCCTCACGGCTTGCCCAAACGGATCAGCGTCGGGCGAGTTGTGAGAGTCACCGAAGAGAATCTGTCGGGCGAGACGCGGGCCAACGCTAAAGTAGCCGGGGATTTGGAAAAAAAGTGGTTCGAGACTAAGAATGAAGCGGATTACGCGGCGTTCATGGAAGCACTCGGGAGGCTTAATTTACCGGTTTATAAAGTCTGGTACGACACCGCCACGTGCCAAGGAAGTTCGGGGGCGCCCGTGCTGTTTGGGGCCAGGCAGACAGCCGGGGTGTGGGGGCCCTACATCGCGAACCACATGGCGTACGACATCGATGAGAAGTTGAATTATTTTAAAGTCGTCATGCTGGGTAACAAAGCCTTTACTAATCAGTTGTGATGGGAAACAACGGGCACGCCGGTTAATGAAAGTTCACAGGTTCAAAGGTACACGAATCGGATTGGACGAGCTCTAGCCTCAGCCGTCATGCTGGATACTGGACAGATGTATGTCTGACACCTCGTTTATGAGTAGAGTGGTGGACGTCATAGAAGCTCAGTCGTATAGATAGCCATACTCACAAATGGATCGACAGAAATGACGGTACGCATTTTGGCCCACATGGATGGTCTGGTAGAATGCCGTCTGGCCCACAATGATGGTCTAGTAGAATACAGTCTGGCCCACAAGAATGGTCTGGTAGAATGCAGTCAGGCCCACAAGGGTGGTCTGATAGAATGCAGTTTGGCCCACATGAATGGTCTTGTAGAATGCAGTTTGGCGCACAAGGACAGTCTGGCAGAATGCAGTCAGATAGAAAAAAAGCCCTTTATGGATCGGTCACGAGGGAAAGAAACGCAACCTTAGATAGGATTTTACGTCGATTTTGGATTTGACCTTAGATTCTGTGTAGGTTGCCAACAAGTGTTTTCTCTGCAGTGGCTATTTATCCTTTAGGAGCAGCGTTTGATGGGCTCAGAAATATCAATAGTCATAAAGTATCCACTGAGTACGAACGTATCCACTGAGTAGGAAAGTATCCACTGAGTAGGAAAGTATCCACTGAGTAGGAAAGTATCCACTGATTAGGGAAGTATCCACTGATTAGGGAAGTATCCACTGAGTAGGGAAGTATCCACTGAGTAGGAAAGTATCCACTGAGTAGGGAAGTATCCACTGAGTAGGAAAGTATCCACTGAGTAGAAAGTATCCGCTGAGTAGGAAAATGTTCACTGAGTAGGAAAATATCCACTGAGTAGGAAAGTATCCACTGAGTAGGAAAGTATCCACTGAGTAGGAAAGTATCCACTGAGTAGGAAAGTATCCACTGAGTAGGAAAGTATCCACTGAGTAGGAAAGTATCCACTGAGTAGGAAAGTATCCACTGATTAGGGAAGTATCCACTGAGTAGGAAAGTATCCACTGATTAGGGAAGTATCCACTGATTAGGAAAGTATCCACTGAGTAGGGAAGTATCCACTGAGTAGGAAAGTATCCACTGAGTAGAAAGTATCCGCTGAGTAGGAAAGTATCCACTGAGTAGGAAAATGTTCACTGAGTAGGAAAGTATCCACTGAGTAGGGAAGTATCCACTGAGTAGGAAAGTATCCACTGAGTAGAAAGTATCCACTGAGTAGGAAAATGTTCACTGAGTAGGAAAGTATCCACTGAGTAGGAAAGTATCCACTGAGTAGGAAAGTATCCACTGAGTAGGAAAGTATCTACTGTTTAAAGAGATTCAGAAATGATATCCACAGAATAGTCGAGATGTCTCCACAGAATAGTCGAGATGTCTCCACAGAATAGTCGAGATGTCTCCACAGAGTAAGCAATGCTTACTATTGTCAAACAAACCAAATCAAACAATGAAACATTCTCATCTGGCATCATTGTACATTTACAGATTAAAAGGAATTTCAAAATAAAAAAATATTCCGACTTATTGTATAATTGCTTCCCCCCCCCCCCCCCCACGCATCCACTCAACAGTGCATATATAGTTCATCGTGCTATGGGAGTAATGGGACAAAACCACTTATCGAAGTCCAGACACTGTCAGGGGCCGGATGAGTGTCCCTCAAGACACTGTCGGGCGCCGGATGAGTGTTCCTCAAGACACTGTCTGGGGCCTGACTATAATTTGGAGAAAAAAAATATGAACGGATTCGATGCACACTGCACATATCTCAAATTTATCCACACTACACATCACATATACATATCTCAATTCTATGCACACTGAAAATATCTCAATTCTATGCACACTGTACATATCTCCGTTCTATGCACTCTGCAGATATCTCAATTCTATGCACACTGTACATATCTCAGTTCTATGCACTCTGCAGATATCTGAATTCTATGCACACTGTACATATCTCAGTTCTATGCACTCTGCAGATATCTCAATTCTATGCACACTGTACATATCTCAGTTCTATGCACTCTGCAGATATCTCAATTCTATGCACACTGTACCGTCGTGGAAGGTGCGATGTAAACACTGAGGGAGACTTTGGTGAATGTTAATGAGGTAAAACATATTAGAACAGACTTCTCAAGAGTTGTCATTGATGCAGGCATCTCACCTCCGATCTTTGGAGTTGAACTTGGCAATCTGGCGTCTTGTGGTTTTGTTCTTGGCCCTTAAGTATCATTTATTTCGGCCAAATTTGAGGGGGGAAAATATCCACTGCAATAATAACCAACTGAGCTGATGTTCAGAGGCGTGGCTAGGGTAAGTACCACCCGGGGCGGGCCAAGCTTTTTGACGCCCCCCCCCTTTCCACGAAAAAAAAATGCAGTTGGTCGATTATGACACCCCTCATTATACGAGAGGGGGTTGGTGTGCAGACCGCAGCCCTTCCTACGGCATTGCTCATGTTACCCATTAGATGTATAATAAATTTTTAAGTACTGAAGAGAAGTCAGTTTGAGTTGAACTGATTACTCTGTCAGTGTCATAGCTGTACAAACTTAGTTGGAGAGAAATCACGTGAGCGATCGGCAAGTCTAGAGTTAAGTATAGCTGTGTACCTACATGATGTATTGGGACTGAACCCACATTACGTTTAGGACTGTGGTTAATTTATTCAGCAAGAGACCCCACTCTCCTTTGTCTACATTTGGGTTATCAAACCATCCGGTGTGTATGTGGGGTGGGGGGGGGGGATTAGCACAATTTCAACGGATCATATGTCGATACATACGTACATATGGTTTTTGTGAATAGACGTTGTTGTTGTTTTTATTTTTCAGTAACTAAACGGGAACTCACACTAGAGTTATAAAAGTAGAGAATATTCTACATTTGGGTTATCAAACCATCCGGTGTGTATGTGGGGTGGGGGGGGGGGATTAGCACAATTTCAACGGATCATATGTCGATACATACGTACATATTGTTTTTGTGAATAGACGTTGTTGTTGTTTTTATTTTTCAGTAACTAAACGGGAACTCACACTAGAGTTATAAAAGTAGAGAATAAATTAATTAGACCTACATCTTTCAGAGATGTTTACTCTCTAACTATTGGCGAGCATTATGTCAGGGGGGTCTAAAAGGAATGAGCATGAAGAGGACAACACAAAATGTTTTAAAAGTCGGTTTGAAGCAAGACCCCAAATATTCAGGAATGGAGAAACGAGTACACTTTATTTAAAAAAAATAAAACGTTCGCCGTTTCGTGTGGGGCAAAGCTATCCAGAAAGCTAGTTACTAACAGCAGTACGATTGCAGGATAGCCTCCGCCCAAGAAAATCTACAGAAAATATCTATTCCTGAATTTGATTAGCTTCTTTCCTGTATGTTATGAAGTATTAAGTAGATCTAAGTGTAAAGTCTGTCAGCAACTGTGCTTTAACATTAAACTAATTAATGGCTCTCAACTACAGTTGATCTTTGGGGAAATTCAGTGACCAGATAAGTCAATTGATTTTTCTCATCGGCGAACCCCTGTTAAATAAATTTAAAAAATAATTTAAAAAACAAATTAAATAATGTCCGGGAATTCCCTATGCATCCGCCATTATATCACTAGAAACGTCGAATTTCCCTGAAATTGTTGCGGCCAGATTTTTGTTCCTTTTATATCAGGGGTTGCCAAAGTGGTCAGTACCAAATTAACAACCCTTGTGGTCGGATTATCCTCTCGTGAGGTTGATGAGAGGTACGGCAAATGCTAATATTAGGCGATCGCTGAAAAATTAGTCTAATTATTTGTTTATAACTTTTATTTATTTTTGAAATGTATCAATATTTTTTTTGGTCGTTGAAAATGTAATACACGAAAACGAGCAGAATCAAATTTAAAACGTGTCAAGAAATATTTTTTGGTGTGATATGAATATGCCGAATACAAATAATTATTTTTATATATATGTATGCAACTGTATCACTTTTAATTTTATCATTAGCCACTTAATACACTCTGTACAGATGATGTTATATTTAGACATTACTGCAATGCAACAGGACAAAACTTGAACATTGAAATATGTTGAAATTGTCTTTAGATTGGATGAAAGGGGAGACTTATGTAGTGTACGTGTATAAAGCTAATATACATGTATAAAGCGTACAACCCAGTAAGTAATGGGAGAAGGAGTAGACATGGCATTTCATCGCCCTAATTTTGGTGTCCATAAAAAGATTGGACAGGTAATCGAACACTTGACAAAATTGGAGCCAATATGAATGAATAAAAATAGTTCACTGAAATCCAGTTTCATAAAACGACAGACATATTTTATGCTTGAAACATAATATTATTTAACTTAAAGTAGGCCTACATGTGTCGGTAAAAATGAATAGACCGAATGGCCTAATCCGGACCACTGAGTCCACCGCCTCATTTTGTACGACCCACGGGCTAACAATGAATTTTATGTTTTGAAATTTTGTAAATTTCAAAGCACGCGTCATAGTGTAACTGTGTGTTGATGCTGTTATGGCATTCTATTCACACATCACTCTCTCAACACAGCCGTAGCGCCATACCGTTCAAATTCGGCAGTTCTTATTTCTTAATTTACCTGTATCAAACCACCACCCCACCCACGCCCCACCCCAAAAAAACACCAATACCGGATGTGATCGTCCTGTTGACATGTCACCTAGTTGAAACACTCCCCCCTCCCCCTCCCCCCCCCCCAATGCCCTTATTTAAACAAACATGTGTGTTTACTTGTAATTAGGGGTCTAGTTGAATCCAGGTCCAGTGTATTGACGGGCGGTGTGGGCTATTATTTAACAACATGACAACTCGCGATTTGTGGCTGAGAAGCTGAGCCATGACCCACTAGAGTACAAGTAGGTCGCGGCTGAGCTCTCCGGCTGGCACCAACCTTTACCTTCTGAGAAACTATGCAACTATGAATGCGTATGAGATCAGAGCGTGTCAACCTCCCCCCCCCCCCTTTTTCTGTTTTTTTGTTTTGTTTTTTTGTTTTTTTTTTTTTTTGTCCGCTAATCACGAAAAGGACCAAACATACAGAATACACATCAAGCATAAAAGTAGGCCGCCTTAAGGTGAACCGGAAAATGGACGTCTATTTTTTTTTTAAATAATGACATACAGCTAGAACAGTAAAATTTAGAAGATAAAATTAAGACTAATTTATTACATGAAGCAAATAAGTAAATTTTAATGGAATTTGTTAAATTTAAAATTAAATAATACAAATTTAGATCATTGTCATTACTAATTTAAAGGACAACATCGGCTGTTCTGTTTGTATAATGATTATAATCACTTTTACTCCGTATCCCCTGAAATACACCACATGTTGGGAAACACCCCTCTAAGTCTGTTCTGAAAAATCTTGTTTACTTTTTAAGTTGCTCACTACCATTCAATAACTTTTCCGGGAGCTTACTGCTAGTAATAACTACAGATAGTAAGTACATAAATAGTACAGATGACGTCATGGGTTTTCCCGATAATTCGATAATGGGAAATCACTCATCATTTTTTCCCAAAAATTTGTAATTCTCTAATGGACTTATTTTATTTTCCGAAAATAATGGATGTTGATTTCGTAAGTCGTAAGTATGTGAATGTCTATATCATCTAATACTTATAGTACCGGTATTTAGGACATGAATATGAAAACCTGAAAAGGTGTTAAGATTATGGTGATTATTTTTAATGGTAATCCCTTATTAATATTAAAGTAAAGTTAAAGCGATTACCGGATTACCGTCATTGACTAAAATTTAATTTAAAGACTAAAACTAAATCTAGTAACAGTAAAGTCACTAAAACTAATGACTTCCACTTCCACTTTAATGAAGTGGAAAAGTAATAATTATTAACTAGTAATATTATTAATAATATTGACATATTCAAGTATCATAATATTGTTTCATATATATTGAGATGACAGCGTTAGCTTGAAGTTTGAAGCAATGAAAAATTTTAACTTAACTTTTAATATTTAAGTATTTTAAAATATTGACCATAATGATATTTTAACATTAATTATTTATAACTTGGTAGTGGAAAACCTGAATTTATCACGCAAAAACAGATGTCGACAAATAAACAAACAACATACGTTTTGACATACATTTTAAATCATAAAGTAGAAAGATAAACTTTGTTAATTTAATTTTAGTTCTAGTTCGCGGCACCAAAAGAGGCTTTGATAATATTTTAATTTTTTTATTATTGATGAAAATAATGGGGTTCCGAGAAAAGGTGGGGGGGGGGGGTAAATCAATCTTGTTCCTGGACTCCAAACACACTAGCTGCACCCTTGGATCCCCCTGAACCCAACAACTAAGTCAAAGTCAAGTGATAACTAAGAATGAGACAATGTTAATTTTTTTATTTTTTTTTTATTGAAAAAAAAAATGGGGTTCCGAAAAAAGGGGGGGGGGGGGGGGGTAAATCAATCT